AATTTGTTCTAAATCATTCTAGTCCTTACGACACACGTGTACTCATCCTGGGACTTAAACCATCATTAATATTTATTTAAATTTTTTTATTTAAAACTCAACACATTAAACCCCATCATTCAAACTCGGTGATTGGCACATAAACCGTCTTTAAAATGAATCAATGATCTTCTGCACTTATATATAGACGACTAATCACCGCAAGTTAACCAATCACCTGTGGGGCCTTACACACTTTGAAACACGAGAATAAAGGCCGCAGCATTAGTTCTATTGACCAATGGGAGGTGTCATGTGGATGTCTAACCTACGCTTGAAATAATCCGGGTGGTCCCCTCGTCTAATTGTGGCGTCCGGTATTTGGTTCCATAGACGTCAACCCCCAAAACCAATGCTTAGCCAGGGGTTTCTTGCAGGAAGCTCAAATGGTATACTATCTGACCTATCTGACGTAATGGGTGCGTGCGTGTGCGTGCGTGTGTGCTTGCGTGCTTCGGTTCAGTGGATTTCGTGAGGGACATCACACATTATTACCTCTCACATCTTTCTCTCGATCAAAGAAATATTTAAGATTACACAGTCTGTACTTCTTTGGTCTCTCGAACAGTCGGGGACGTTTGGTGGACGAGGGGGGGTGGGGGGAGGGAAGGAAGGGAATTATCAGGGGAAAGCACCAAGCCATAACGACTATATAGCCCTTGGCAGGGGTCAGGATAAGGATTTGGGATGGGATGGGGGGAAAGGAATGGTGCATAACGACATGGACGGTCGGGGATTGAACGCCGACCTGCATGAAGCGAGACCGTTGCTCTACCATCCAGCCCAAGACGAGGGGGGGGGGGGGAGGTTCAGTGACTGATATGTGAGAATACAGGTAAATGTTTTCTCATTACAAAGACTGTTTCTGTAAGCACACACAAAAAAAAATATTTAATTAACAGCAATGTTTTTTCTATTGGCTAGACACACACACGTAATGTGTGTGTGTGTATGTGTGTGTGTGTGTGTGTGTGTGTGTGTGTGTGTGTGTGTGTGTGTGTGTGTGTGTGTGTGTGTGTGTGTGCAAAGGCAACCTGAGAGCTCTAATTTGAATTGCAAATTAGGGATTGATATGGAGCCAACACTCATTCACAGCGCCCCCTTGTGGGAGGCACAGCACCTGGTTAGGTCCACTAGGTGTGTATAGGTCCTTGAGAGGTAGTTAGGGCTGGCCCTTCCCTCTCCTAATGACATCCTGGCATCATCATCATCATCCCCATCATCATCCTCACATCTCAGCCACACTATCACTCACTACAATCAGCGCCAGTAATAGAACCACCATCACTATCTCGATTCACAGTCATCAACTCCTGCGGGGCGCGGCAGTGTGTCTATTCTGATGGGCCACCTTACCTTAAGGTTACCTTGAGGTGCTTCCGGGGCTTAGCGTCCCCGCGGCCCGGTCGTCGACCAGGCCTCCTGGTTGCCGGACTGATCAACCAGGCTGTTGGACGCGGCTGCTCGCAGCCTGACGTATGAGTCACAGCCTGGTTGATCAAGCAGGACTTCCACAAGGGCTTTAAGGCAGTCACGACTCTGATCTCTCTCATACCCATACTCCTGCATGTTATCTAAAGGTTTTACAATATATGACTCGAAACTTTGCTCCCAGAGCTTGGTTAGAGCCAGAGCCAGAGCTTCCATTATATTGGTTTCCACTTTCTCTGACCATTTTCTTTTCTTAGGATCCTTTCTGACCAACTGTTGCTAACTTAGATGGTCCAACTATTCGGTCTAAGTTTGCGGCCCCTTAAGAAACTCCAATGTCGTCCACTGCATATACCTCCTTACACTTCAACCCCAATAAGTCCCCCACACTGTAGTTTTGAAATTAATTTCGTACTCCTTACGAGTGCCTGAAATTTTTTGTAACATTACATTTCACTACGATAACGCACAAGTGTTGCCAGTTATTTGGTAGCAAAATTCACCCGTCTGCAAGTTCTGTTTTGATCTTGTGTCCTCGGTCAGTACCATCCTGGCCGTCCTGGAGGCCGCACGTCGCCGCTGGCCTCAAGAGAGCTTCCTAAATGTGGCGCGGTTCGAAGATATTTGAACCGCGCAACTCAGTCAACTCTTCGGGTTCGAAAGATATTTCGAACTCGAAGAGTTCTTGAGTTCTTAGTTTTTTGAGCTCTTTGCAGAACCTCATTTGCTTTATGTTTAGAGTACTCTTCTGACATCTAGAGTGACATCTACTTTTTGTGACTACTACATCTACATCTACAACTTTTGATATCTACTCTGCTCTTCTAGAGCAGAGCGTTCCGCCTCTTGTGTCCTTATCCGTTCAGTTAACGTCACATGTAATCTTTATCTTTAGATTTGGCCTTTCTCCAATCTCTCCAATCATGCCTCCTACAGCTCCTACTCTCAAGCACTTGCGAGATGATTGGCTTGTTTGGTCACGCCTGGGTCGTTCTTCAGAGTCTCACAGACCTCGTGGAGGCGAAGATATTTCCCAGATTGAAAACCAAATCGAACATACAGAATGAAGGTGATTGGATAATCTCCTTTATTGGTCCACGTGGAATGGTCCTTCCATTCCACAATCATCTCGTGGAATGGAAAGTCTGGCAATGGTCCCCCCCCCCTCGATACCTTGATTGATGTTCACCATCGTCGTCACCATCACTGTAGCAGCTGAACCACTGTCACTATCATCACCATCACTGTAGCAGCTGCACCACTGCCACTATCATCACCATCACTGTAGCAGCTGAACCACTGTCACTATCATCACCATCACTGTAGCAGCTGCACCACTGCCACTATCATCACCATCACTGTAGCAGCTGAACCACTGTCACTATCATCACCATCACTGTAGCAGCTGCACCACTGCCACTATCATCACCATCACTGTAGCAGCTGAACCACTGTCACTATCATCACCATCACTGTAGCAGCTGCACCACTGTCACTATCATCACCATCACTGTAGCAGCTGTACCACTGTCACTATCATCACCATCACTGTAGCAGCTGTACCACTGTCACTATCATCACCATCACTGTAGCAGCTGAACCACTGCCACTATCATCACCATCACTGTAGCAGCTGAACCACTGCCACTATCATCACCATCACTGTAGCAGCTGAACCACTGCCACTATCATCACCATCACTGTAGCAGCTGTGCCACTGTCACTATCATCACCATCGGCAGATAAAGAGGTACGACGACCACCACTTCAACAACTTTGTTGCTCCCCAAACTTTGCACCACTGAGGACCCCGGGAATCTCTCACAACTTTCTTTGAGTTTTTAAGACGCGACCGTATGACACATGTCCTCTCTCTCTCTCTCTTACCACTGTAAAAGCTGACCTGTGTCACCTGTGTCCGAGTGGAGGTCACCTGTGTCCGAGTGGAGGTCACCTGTGTCCGAGTGGAGGTCACCTGTGTCCGAGTGGAGGTCACCTGTGTCCGAATGGAGGACTGAGTCAAGATGGCGAGGGGGGCATAGCGCAAGAATCCTCGTCGTCTATGCATCGGATAGGTTAAGTTAGGACGCTGGATTATGTACGTTGAGGCAAATTGAGACGACGGGCTGAACGAAGTGTGTGCTGTGCCTGTTGTATGTGTGGGGGGACGAGCTCCCCTTACACCTGGAGTGTCTCCTGCAACAGGATGTGCTGTTGGCTTGTGCTGTGCCCTGCTCGTGTAATTATGCAGATCTCGGCGTGTTGGGCACCTGGGAATCAACCACTGTAGGTCAGTTGTGACGAGAGGGGCGGGGGCGGGGGGGGGTAATGACCGACGCTAAACAGGGGGCATAAACCCCCCTTAACCCCCCTTGTGCTCTCTAAGGTTATAATATCATTGACCATAGAGTGAATGTTTTACCCAATTCTGTGTTAATTGAGTTCCGTTTCATTATTCGCAATCAATTGAACTCTTCCCCCCCCCCTCTCCCCCACAGTCATCATACTCTCCCCTCACCCGGTCATTGTATCCGGTGGAGCGTGGCGGCGTTCATTGTGACGGGTCGTCCGCATCTACACACACACAAAAGAGAGCTGGTCGGTCTGCACTCCATTGAACCTGTGGCTATCATGGTAACTGGTCTTGTATATAACTGCCAAACATAATTACAATTCGGAGCATCAAACACACACACTCTCTCACCACATAAAAACACACACACACACACACACACACACACACACACACACACACACACACACACACACACACACACACACACACACACACACAGCGAGGTACTGAATGCAAGTTTCCATGGAGTGTTCACAACCGAGCCTGAGTGGCTCCCTTTGTTAGAAGAGATTACCCAAGATGAAAGACTATCAGATATAGAGGTGACAGCAGAGGAGGTAATGAAACAGTTGACAACACTGGATGCAACTAAAGCGGTTGGACCAGACAAAGTATCACCGTGGATACTGAAAGAGGCAGCACAGGCCCTCAGCGTGCCTCTGGCAATGATCTTTAATGAGTCACTTATGTCGGGAGAATTGCCCAGTTGCTGGAAGGAGGCAAATGTCATACCGATCTTCAAGAAAGGTGATAGGGAGGAGGCACTTAACTACAGACCTGAATCACTGACAAACATCCCCTGCAAGATACTTGAAAGAATAATTAGGCTAAGACTTGTTGAGCACCTGGAGAGCATTGGGTTTGCAAACAAGCACCAACATGGGTTCTGGATAGGGAAACCATGCCTAACAAACCTTTTAGAATTCTGTGATAAAGTAACAAGGATAAGGCAGGACAGAGAAGGTTGGGCAGACTGCATATTTCTTGACTGCCAAAAGGCCTTTGATACAGTACCGCACATGAGACTGCTATACAAACTTGAGAGGCAGGCAGGAGTAAGCGGAAAGGCCCTAGCATAGGTGAGGAACTACCTAACAGGATGGAGCCAGAGGGTAATGGTAAGGGGCGAGAAGTCGGACTGGCGAACAGTAACGAGTGGAGTACATCCTGGAACATGCTGCCAAATCCTGGAGCATGCTGCCACATCCTGGAGCATCCTGCCACATCCTGGAACATCCTGCCACATCCTGGAGCATCCTGTCACATCCTGGAGCATCTTGCCACATCCTGGAACATCCTGCCACATCCTGGAGCATCCTGCCACATCCTGGAGCATCCTGCCACATCCTGGAGCATCTTGCCACATCCTGGAACATCCTGCCACATCCTGGAGCATCCTGCCACATCCTGGAGCATCCTGCCACATCCTGGAACATCCTGCCACATCCTGGAACATCCTGCCACATCCTGGAGCATCCTGCCACATCCTGGAGCATCTTGCCACATCCTGGAACATCCTGCCACATCCTGGAGCATCCTGCCACATCCTGGAGCATCCTGCCACATCCTGGAGCATCCTACCACATCCTGGAACATCCTACCACATCCTGGAACATCCTGGAGCATCCTGCCACATCCTGGAGCATCCTGCCAAATCCTGGAGCATGCTGCCACATCCTGGAGCATCCTGCCACATCCTGGAGCATCCTGCCACATCCTGGAGCATCCTGCCACATCCTGGAGCATCCTGCCACATCCTGGAGCATCTTGCCACATCCTGGAACATCCTGCCACATCCTGCCACATCCTGGAGCATCCTGCCACATCCTGGAGCATGCTGCCACATCCTGGAGCATCCTACCACATCCTGGAGCATGCTGCCAAATCCTGGAGCATGCTGCCACATCCTGGAGCATCCTGCCACATCCTGGAGCATCCTGCCACATCCTGTAGCATCTTGCCACATCCTGGAACATCCTGCCACATCCTGGAGCATCTTGCCACATCCTGGAACATCCTGCCACATCCTGGAGTATCTTGCCACATCCTGGAACATCCTGCCACATCCTGCCACATCCTGGAGCATCCTGCCACATCCTGGAGCATCCTGCCACATCCTGGAGCATCCTACCACATCCTGGAACATCCTACCACATCCTGGAACATCCTGCCACATCCTGGAGCATCCTGCCACATCCTGGAACATCCTGCCACATCCTGGAGCATCTTGCCACATCCTGGAACATCCTGCCACATCCTGCTACATCCTGGAGCATCTTGCCACATCCTGGAACATCCTGCCACATCCTGGAGCATCCTGCCACATCCTGGAGCATCCTGCCACATCCTGGAGCATCCTACCACATCCTGGAACATCCTACCACATCCTGCCACATCCTGGAGCATCCTGCCACATCCTGGAGCATCCTGCCACATCCTGGAGCATCCTGCCACATTTTGGAGCATCCTACCACATCCTGGAACATCCTGCCACATCCTGGAGCATCCTGCCACATTTTGGAACATCCTGCCACATCCTGGAGCATCCTGCCACATCCTGGAGCATCCTGCCACATCCTGGAGCATCCTACCACATCCTGGAACATCCTACCACATCCTGCCACATCCTGGAGCATCCTGCCACATCCTGGAGCATCCTGCCACATCCTGGAGCATCCTGCCACATTTTGGAGCATCCTGCCACATCCTGGAGCATCCTGCCACATCCTGGAGCATCCTGCCACATCCTGGAGCATCTTGCCACATCCTGGAGCATCCTTCAACCACGACAAACGTCCAGATCACACAGATGATTTAAGATGGATGATATTTCTCAGAAGACTCACTTAGGCCTGAGAACGGCTGCTGAAACTTCCTTTCAAATATTGATTTACTTAAGCGAAAATAATTTTGGTCTTATAAACGTCTTGTGTTATAATTCACTCATATCATATCTTTATTATGCACCCCATACCCATCCTGTGGACGGTGGTGTAAAGGGTTATTCTCTGATGCGATTACTCATTTAAATTTGTATTCAGGTATTCCTTTTTTTTTTAGTTAACTGTCGTATTGTGCCGGTAGGTAATATCTGTGAGTGTTGGGGTAGAGCTCTATGATTGCCCAGTAGAGTCAATGCTGGACTCTACACTCTACTGTTGTCCTCCTCCTCCTCCTCCTCCAACTTGCTTCTCCAACACTCAGATTATCTCCATCTCTCCAGCACCTCTATGCTAGCACCACTTTTATGTTCCCCCCCCCCCTATTCCCCCCATTACCCCCCCCATCCCCCTCCCCCATTCCCTGTCCTTTATGCCTTTTTTTAGTGCCCTGGCACTCTCCACTGCCCCATTTTTAACTTCCCTTCTCCTCTCATCTTGCCTTTATTTCCCCTCTCTGCCCGCTTCTGTTCCCCCTTTCTCAGCTCTACAGTCGAAAAAAAACACATATGCACCTCTCTCACTCACGCACATATTCTCGTACATATATATATATATATATATATATATATATATATATATATATATATATGCGCACATAAATCCTCAAATAAATAGAAGAGCAAAGAGGCGTATTGACAGCTCTGCACATTTCTAGTCTGTCAGAATGTTTTTTGACACAGTTGCACACACAAGACTACTACACAAGCGAGCTACACACAGGCGGGAGTGAGAGCGAGAGCACACAAGGGGCGAGAGGGACCTCTCACACCCACACAACACCTAGTCGCTGTGAGGAATAAAAAGTCATATTATCACTGGATTAAAAGTGCAGTCTCCAGGCATCGACCTTAGGTGTGAGAAAGGGGGGTATTTCTCAGCTAAAGTGCACACACGCACGCACACACACACACACACACACACACACACACACACACACACACACACACACACACACACACACACACACACACACACACACACACACACACACACACACAACAAGCAAGGTGACTTTGTGCATTCAGGTATGTGAAAATACAGATAGCATTAACTTAGGTTGCATTACCAACAAATGAGGGGTACCCCTGGAGAGCTCTTCCCATTGGTAGTACAGCTATGCCGGATTATGCCACAAGATCAGGGGAAATCATACAGCAGTGATTGTTATGCTGCTCCTGTAGGCTTCTGGCATCACATTTGGAGGGTTATATCCACTCTCAGGTCTTCTGCCCCCTCTTCTGATTGAAGAATATCTGTCTGCCCTTCGTCCTATAACTCTGTATTGGTCTGCCCACTTCTGTTCCAAGCCTCGTAACTTTGAGTATGGCTGGGTTCAATTCTAGCAGTCATTTTTCAGACCACGTCTGGAGTATGTCGAAATCCGTTTGCAATATATCACACCCCTCTCCCTGTCGTAACTCTTCTGATCAGTTTGGCATCATCTGCAAACATTGATATGAAGGAGCCAATTTCCTCTGCCAGGTCGTTCACATATATTAGAAACAGGATGGGCCCCTGTGTGTGTGTGTGTGTGTGTGTGTGTGTGTGTGTGTGTGTGTGTGTGTGTGTGTGTGTGTGTGTGTGTGTGTGTGTGTGTGTGTGTGTGTGTGTACTCACGTAGTTGTGCTTGCGGGGGTTGAGCTTCGGATATTTGGTCCCGCCTCTCGACAGTCAATCTCCTCTATCGTATCTACATTTGAAACTGTTTATGGAGTCAGGCTCCACCACATCACTGCATAATGCCTTCCGTTTACTAACTACTCTGACATTGAAAAGGTTCTTTCTAATGTCTATGTGACACATTTGGGTACTCAGCTTCCACCTGTGTCCCCTTGTGCGTGTACCATCCGTGTTAAATAATCCATCCTTGTCTACCCTGTCAATTAACCTGAGAATTTTGTAGGGGTAGTGATCATGTCTCTCCTTACTCTTCTGTCTTCCAGCGACGTGAAGTGCAGTTCACGCAGCCTTTCCTCGTAACTCATGCCTCTTAGTTCTGGGACTAGCCTAGTGGCATACCTCAACTTTTTCCAGCTTCGTCATGTGCTTGACAAGGTACGCGCTCCATGCTGGGGCCGAATACTGCAGGATTGGTCTTGCATATGTGGTATAAAAGGTTCTGAAGGATTCCTTACACAGATTTCTGAAGGCAGTTCTGATGTTAGCCAGTCTTGCATACGCCGCTGATGTTATTCTTTTGTTGTGGACTTCAGGAGACAGGTTTGGCGTGATATCAACTTCTAGAACTTTATCTCTGTTATTTTCATGAAAGACATCATCTCCCATTCGGTATCTTGTGTCTGGCCTTCTATTTCTTCCGCCTAGTTTCATTACTTTACATTTACTTTTGTTGAACTTAAGTACCCATTTGTTAGTCCATTCCTTCAGTTTGTCTAGGTCATCCTGTAGCCTCATACTATCTTCCTTTGTCTTAATCCTCTTCATAATTTTTGCATCATAGCAAACATTGAGAGGGACAAGTCTATTCCCTCTGGGAGATCATTTACGTATATCAGAATAAGAATCATTTACATATATCAGAATAAGAATCATTTACATATATCAGAATAAGAATCATTTACATATATCAGAATAAGAATCATTTACATATATCAGAATAAGAATCATTTACATATATCAGAATAAGAATCATTTACATATATCAGAATAAGAATCATTTACATATATCAGAATAAGAATCATTTACATATATCAGAATAAGAATCATTTACATATATCAGAATAAGAATCATTTACATATATCAGAATAAGAATCATTTACATATATCAGAATAAGAATCATTTACATATATCAGAATAAGAATCATTTACATATATCAGAAACATTATAGGTTCAAGGACTAATCCCAGTTGTACTCCACTGGTGACGCCTCACCACTCTGAGACCTCACCCATCACAATGACTCGCTGTCTTCTGTTGCTTAGGTACTCCCTTATCCAGGGAGTACCTTCCCTTTCACTCCTGCCTGCATCTCCAGCTTGTGCACTAGTCTAGTATGTGGTACTGTGTCAGAGGCTTTCTGGCAAACCAAAAAATATGCAGTCTGCCTACTCCTCTCTTTCTTGCCTGATTTTTGTTGCCTAGTCGTAGAATTCATTTAATCCTGAGAGGCATGATTTGCCATCCCTGAACCCATTCTGATGTTGTGTTACAAAGTTATTTTGCTCCAGATGTTCCACTAGGTTTTTTCGCACAATCTTCTCCAATCAACTTGCATGGTATGCAAGTTAGCGACACTGGCCTGTAGTTCAGTGCCTCCTATCTATCCCCCTTCTTGTATAACGGGACTACATTTGCCGTCTTCCAAATTTTTGGCATTTCACCTATTACCAGTGACTTTGTACATTATGGATAGTGGCAGGCACAGTGCTTCAGCTCCTTCCTGTATCCATGGTGAGATTCCATCCAGGCCTATAGCCTATGTCACATCCAACTGTAGCAAATGTATTCTCATCTCCCCACTGGTAATCACAAACTCCTCTAGTGGTGCCAAGTTAAATATTCCTTCTCTTATATCTGAAACTTCTCCTTGCTCTAATGTGAAGACTTCCTGGAATTTCGTATTGAGTTCCTCGCACATTTCCTTGTCATTTGTAGTGAATCTGTCTGCTCCTATCCTCAGTTTCATTACTTATTCCTTCACTGTTGTTTTTCGTCTGATGTGGCTGTGCAGCAATTTAGGTTGAGTTTTTGCCTTGCTTGCTATGTCATTTTCGTATGGTCTTTCTGCCTCTCTTCTCACCCTGACATATTCATTCCTGATGCTCTGGTATCTTTCTCTGCTCTCAAGTGTCCTGTTATTTCTGTAGTTTCTCCACGCCATTGTACTTTGTTGCTTTGCTAGCTTACATCTCCGATCAAACCATGGGTGTCTCGTCTGTATTTCGTTTTTTGCCCTTTTGGACTGGGACAAACTTGTCTGCTGCCTCCTTACACTTCTACGTGATGTAGTCCATCATGTCTTGGGCCCTCTTTCCTCTGAGCTCAAGTTATATCTGTTAGGAATTTTCATATCTCCTCATAGTTTCCCTTCCGGAATGCCAGCGTTGTGTTTTCTGGTCCATTCCTTGGGTACATTAACCCTACTTAATGACCAAATACTCAAACATCAGTACACTGTGATCGCTCAGTCCCACGGGAGGCTTCCAACCCGATTTCCCTTATGTCGGAGTCGTTCAGAGTGAAGACTAGGTCGAGTCTCGCTGGTTCATCGTTGCCTCTCATTCTTGTGGGGTCCCCTGACATGCTGGCTTAAAAAGTTTCTTGTGTGTGTGTGTGTGTGTGTGTGTGTGTGTGTGTGTGTGTGTGTGTGTGTGTGTGTGTGTGTGTGTGTGTGTGTGTGTGTGTGTGTGTACTCACCTAATTGTGCTTGCGGGGGTTGAGCTTTGGCTCTTTGGTCCCGCCTCTCAACTGTCAATCAACTGGAGTGTGTGTGTGTGTGTGGGGGGGGGGCGCCACGATGGACCACGGGCCATGGGGGCCACGGGCCACCACGGACCATGGGGGACCACGGAGCTCAGTAATGACCAACTGATGGACCATTCTCCCATCGTTGTATTAATGTGTGCGGGGGGAGGGGGAGGGGGAGGGGGAGGGGGTTTCTGACACAAACAGGCGTGTTGGTTTTTAATTAAAGTTTTCTCCCTTCGGGTCAGGAAAGGCAGGTGGTGGTGGGGGGGGGGAGGGGGGATGGGGGGGTTATTAAAAGCTTATTTTCTTAAGTCAAGCTCAATCTGAACTTGTTTGATGAAGCTTTTATATAAACAAAATGGAGGGATTATATAAATATTACTTATGTATATGTTTTGTTTTGTAAATATAAAAATTAATTCAATTTATATCCGTAAAAGAAAG